AGCAGTGAAGCCCTCAAACAGACAGGGCATAGTAATATTTAATAAAAGCGCACACATAATCTTCAGAATTAGCATTTTGTGCCTTGCAGTACCTTTGGGAGAAGAGCTTTTATTTGTGGAGTGATCATTATTATAACAAAGAAGAGCTACCTAATAATTTCCACTTTAACTCTGCAATATGCCACGAGCATTTCTGAACCATTATGCTAAACTGTGGCGGGGTAATCATTTTATTGTCTCTGTTTGAAGAAAGAAAAACCCCCTCTATACCAGTAGCTTGGAGAGTATGGGAACATAGGAACACGCTGTCACACACAACACACAACAAAAAAACTTCTCCTTTTTGCTACCTGTGCGCAGAAGTTGGTACCTACCATCCTTTGCATGAAAGGTGATGAGGTTTTAACGATGTATATTCTGAGAAAAGATGAAGATTTCAAAAGAACATTGTTTCCCTTGAAATTCATTAAGGTTTTTGCTCATAAATTCTTAAAATTTATCGATAGAGACCTTAGCTTTGAAGTCAGTGGTGAAATTCCCATTGGCTTCAGTAAGTTTGGGATTGCAGTGCCTCCTTCTAACATCTCTATCTGCTAACTCAAACAGCAGGAGGAGCACGATAAAACACATCAGATGTTAACACTGATTAGCCTTGATATTATGCAAAGAAGGAGAGCAGCTCATTAAGACTCATAACCATTAGGCCATTTCAGCAGGTGGAGGATGTGGCCACATCACCTTCAGCAAGGAGCGGCAAGGTCCGTGCCTGCAGTTGGAGGAGTAATATTTAGTTTTTCCTCAGTCCAACGACTGTTCTGAAAACATGCAGTGAATGTAATACACTCACGCCAAACAGTCTTAGAATCTTATCTGAAAGTTAGGCCACCAAACTGTTTTTGTTCTGGTTGTAGTTGGCTGCCAGCTGTTCATTTAAAAAAAAAAAAAAAGTTGTTTATATGTGTAAAAATGTAATTATTCTTTTTTTATTATAATTCTTCTCTGAACTTTAAGTCCATACGTGTTATCAATCATGTACACTTCATTGCCTTTATTAGGACTGGTCTGAAGTCCTTCACTGCATTTTTTTTATCAGTGAAGTTTCAGACTTCAACTAAAATCTCTTTTTCTACAGAAAAACATAAGTTTTATATAACGTTTTAATATTTGTTTTAAAAGCATCATGTTAGAAATGAGGCGTTGGTGTTACAGGAGGGCATGTGAAGTGATAATATTTTGAAACAAATTAGTTTGTTTTTCTTGGAAATATTGGAAAGTATTATAGTTAATTCCAGATAGAGATTCTGGAACTTTGCATTCTGCAGAAAAATGTTCTGTACTTTGGTTTCTCTTGTGAGCAAAACAAAATGTAGAAAAATCGAGGTCTCCAATGAAAAAATTTTTCTGCCTAGCTCTGTTTTCCTAGGGTTGCACAGAAGTAAACACCTTCCAGACAGCACTTTGGAAGTTGCCAAATGATTAAAAGAAGAAATATGAAGAGCCGAGGGCCTGAGCTGGCCAGAGATTTGTACCAGGGGCATAAACAGAGCTGAGGTCATCGCCTTGCCCCCCTCCCAGCCTTACCTGTGGTGATGCTGGCAAATGGGACCCAATTCTTCCATCCTCCTGCCTGGTGCTCCCAGGAGAGGGCCTGGGAACGGCAAATTGTTAGTAGGACCAGTGCCCCAAGCAACACTGGCTGTTGCAAATATGTCATTGTATAAACACGTTCTGTGCCTTCAAACCCCGGTGGTAGCCTGGATGCCACCCTCGGCATGTCTCCTCAGGCTTCCTCGGGGTGCAGCTTCCCTTGTGGGGCAGCGCCTGCGTGCAGCCCTGCCAGTCTTTACAGACACTTGCATTTTGAGATAAGAGAAGCCGTGTGGGGAAAGTTGGGATGTCCCACTGGTTTTTGTGACCAGTCCTGAGGGAAAACAATGCCCTGAAATCTTTTGGGAATCCACAGCGCTCTCACTGCTTTTCAGGTAGTGCCTGCAAAGGGCACCAGCCTGCCCTGCTTATTAAACCACCGAGTCCTGACTTTTCCTCCTCCTCAGAGACGTCCTGGACTATTGCCAGCCATTTTGGTGAGGCACTGATTCAGCACAGTTGCTACATATTTAAATAAAATTACACGTGTGAGTGGTCACATTGACTTTGCTGGCGAGGGTGTCCCAGTGAACCCACAGCCCCAGTGCGGCACAAGGACCTGAGTGCCTGCTCAAGTCCCCTTGGCTGCCATGGGACTTGTCGTGCATTTTATATTAAGCACATACAAGTATAAAGTATCAGAATAAAATACGTGAGGCAGCACAGACAGTGCAGCACCTTGCACTTCGGAGTGCAATGCAGGTACTGCAAAGGACATCACAGGATAAATAGCAAGACCTTTAGTGGGGACCTGTAACTGCAGAACAGTATCTTGCATTCATTTTAAAAATGAATTGAATCTATAATTTTGTAGCCTGCATATGTTTTCTGTTAATGGCTTATGGGCCCAAACAGTTTTTATTCACTGGTATTCAGGAAAAAAATGTTGCTTGTAGTCTTTAAGAAATGTAGCTCATTCTCTGACACATGGGAAACTGATTATCTTTGGGTTTTATTGTGGGGTGTGTGTGTCCACAATCAACTGGAAATACTCGAAAGGTCGTAATTTGGAAGTGATGTTAATTTTTATTTATGAAAAGGTTCGATTCTGTGGAAGGGCTAGATGGCAATTTGAAAAGCTGCTTTCACTGTAAATCCACTGCTGTGAGCTCGGCTGAAAGGAAAGCATTTGGTTTTGGACTTTGCAATGGTTTTTATGCACAGTTTTATACAAGTAACTTGAATCCAAATTAAACATATTGAAGTTACTTCTGTGTGCGCGCTACATTTTCATGATGGTAATGTTAGGATGTTTCTTTTGTTAGCTCATGTAAAAGTTAATGGCTGTGCTCTGCCAAGTTTGGAGTAGGATAATGATTTTTTTCTGCCTGTGTGTTTGTGTTTTTCACTGGAGCTGGCATCCCTATCCGCTTAAGTAGTGGAAAAGTTTGTGCCTGACACTTACAACCTTTTGTAGGTAGGGACGGGGTCTGTTTGCTCTCCATGCATGTATTCCATCACTGGTGGTGTCAGTCTGTAGCAGTGCCCACAGAAACACTCGCTGCTAAGGGTGACTCAACAGCTCCCTTTCCAGCTCCCTCCTGCTTCCCAGCTCCACGCCCACCCGCTCTGCCCAGGGGCTGGGAGGAAGGAGCTGCTCACCAGCCTCTCGACTCTTGCAATTAGCTCCAGCCAACCAGAACTTCACTAAACAATCATAAAGACGCACAGGGTCTTTTTAGCGCTTTGTGTCTGGAACATTTTAGAGTAGGCTTCTGTGAAAGAATTAATTTACGGTCTTTACAATTAGAAGGATGTAGGGCAGGGGCTGTGCCACTACACAGCCACATTAAGTAATTCATGGGTGCAAGGGTGTTGTCCTGGATGGTGCTAATAGGTGGGTGCCTTTCACGCCCCTGTCTTCCTAGTAAATCCTTACCTGATGAAGGGCCTGAGTGCTCACCCTTAAGTATGTCATCAGATGCTCAAAGTTACAAACCAAATTAACAGCTCAGCCAGCCTTTCAATCAAGTAGCAATTCACAGCCGAATGCCAGCAACCCTAAAAAAAGGAGGTATATATGTAGATATATGTACATGCAGCTAACGAAGTCCTGCTGATTGACAACTGATTGACATTGCAGGATCAGTGTGGGCAATGGCAGCCCTTCAGGTGTTTTCAGTGGAGCCAGCCTCTTCCCTCTGCTGAGGACTGGGTTCATATCTAAAGGAAAGAATCTTTCTTTTCAACATTGAGGTTGACTAATGGAGTTTTGCTGCTCCTGAAGGAATCTGTTTTTCATGGCTAATGAAATTGTTGAGCTATCCACTTTACTTCAGATGTTGTCTAATGGTATCGTGTTGTGTTTTCACTTTGTGCTGTATTAACAAGGAAAAGTTGGTGGCATTTGGGATGGAGTGGCTTCTTTCTGTCATCCTGTATGACCACCCTGAGACTCCACAGCTGAGAGTTGCCCAGGACTGTTTGTCTTACTGAGGTTATTTTTGCAGTAATGTTATTCCTGTTGCTTCAGCGCAGTTAAATAGTGATGTGCTCCGGTACTGCAGAGGAGGCAAATCAGTATGTGGATGTTTATATTGCCTTATCCCACCAAGATATAAAGTTGAGCATGCTTAGGTAGTCTTAAACCAGAAGATTTTATGCCAAGATTTGAGCTTACTACTTTGAGCAGTGCTTGGGTTTTCAACACCATCGCAGGAGGCACTTAGTACATCTGAAGCCAAGAAAGTGGCTAGTGAAAGTGGGGACAGACTTTATGAATATGTCAGAATGCATCACACATGCTTCTTAATTGTCCAGTAGGTGCAACGTAACTGGAACGACTAGATGGCAGGGTTGTAGGTTTTAGGTTTTTTTTGTAGTAGCCAAAGCATAAACAGGGCAGGGTGGTTTAATACTAGAACATCCTGGACCTGATTGCAGAATAGTTAAAGAAATGCTGAGGATTACACCCTTTTTTATTTAGCCAATATTTTCCATAATATTTGTAGGAGTTTCCTTGATGAATTTAAATAAAGCAAGCTCACTGGAGATTATTTTATTAACTCAGGTATTGCATGTTTCATACAGAAGAAAACTATGGATTTGTCCTGGTTTCCAACTGGTCTCTGCCCATCATGCTGTGATTTTTTTTGTTAATGTAGGCTTAAAAAAGTTATTTTTTTCAATGCAGATAACAAAACCAAACAGAAATTAATTGAGAAAAAAATGCTTCCAAAGATGTAGCTTAAGGTCATGCACACGTACTAGAAAGAGCGTGATTGCTGAAATCTTTGTGTTAGTAAAGGGGGAAAATGAAAGCTCCTTTTATTTTATTTTTCTCAAGTCTTCTATCATTAAAATCTGGTTCTAACAGCAGAATACTTCTCTTTTTCATGTGTGTTGAAAAGCAGCTACACCATGTATCAAAGCCATCAGTCCAAGTGAAGGATGGACTACAGGAGGTGCCACTGTCATCATCATAGGAGACAATTTCTTTGATGGGTTACAGGTCATATTCGGCACCATGCTGGTTTGGAGTGAGGTAGGTGTTGTCTGAACGGTAATGTCTAATAGCTTTGTCTAGCTTATAGCCAGCCTGTCCTTTTTCTGTGCCACATGCTAAATCAGCAACAAATGTTGAGATGTGAATCCTTTCCCCATTCAGTTTTATGAAATAATTAGTGAAATTTACCTGTGGCAGAAATCCATTATAGCTGGGGGATTTGCATCTCCTCTCACTGGCCCGGAATTGAGCTCAGTGCCTTTTATTCCCAGAAAAGGGAAGGATAAATGCCTGCGTGAATAATTCCGCATTTGACACTACAGTCGCTAAGGGCCCACAGGAAACAAACGTTTAGATGATCCTGCTTTCCAGGGAAACTGGCTGCTCGTAGCTGCAGCTCAATGAGGTGGAGACTGCAGAAATTCAGTGCCTCTGAATAGCATATCCTTAAAGTGTAGGCACTTGGTGTAAGCACCATCTGCATAATAGCAAACAAATACACAGTATTGTATTCACAGTGGAAAATACAGACTCGTCATACCTAGTGGGGACCTCTGTAGTGTCACAGTAACCCTTTTTTTGTTTCTCATCCATTTTTTGCTGTTGCTGTTCCTCCCAGTTTCTTAAATCCTCTCTTCTCCTGGCGTATAAGTAAACATGGAGTCTGATGTTCCCCAAAAGCCCGTGGAAAGTTAAAACCCAGGCAGCATCACTCAAACGGCTGCTTCCAGTGCACAGGGCCATAGAAGTCAGGGCAGAGTTCCCACTGGCTTCCCTGGCATGGGAAGGCAGCTCCAAGGAAAGGCTTACATTTTGCATTTGTGACTTTTCAAAAGCATTTTGGAGGCTTTATAAGAAATTGTTATTTTCCTGATTTTAATACTGAAATAAATACACTAACAGACAAACCTGCATCTCTGAAATAGCTGTACAGTGCTTACCCAGTGATCTTCTGATGTTTGCCTTATATCCTATAAATATTAAATCAACTTTGTAGCTGAATTCATATCCAGCACATTCCCCCTACTGATTCCATAGCACATTTGGCAGCATTTTTTCCATATGAAGAGTGTCCTCTAATGTCCTTCATGGGCTTCACTACTCTCTGTCTCTCTCTCTCATCCTTCCACTTGAGGACAAGTGTGGATGAAAGGGCATTCCAGAAAAGGAAATATATTAAATGAGCCCTATTCTGAAGCCCTTATGTGATCATGAAAGTGCCCCCTGGGTCCAGTGTAAGCATTTTGTGTGTTAGGATTGAAGCCATTATGGCTACAGACACTTAACAGGGAAAGGTGAAGAGGCTGGGAGGAAAGTGCTCTGATTTTGGTACTGCAGAGTTGGATCTTTCATTATAAAACTTGATTCTATTTATTAGTGGAAGCCATTAATTGGCAATTTCTAATCTCAGGAGAGTGAGTGCTGGTCAGAGCATTGTTGCTGATGGTTGCAAGGCCTTGTCATGAAATTAATAATGTTAGAGGGAGCCCAGACCAAAGCCAGTCTGTTTGTTGTGGATGCTATAACGGGCTGCAAGCTAGCTTTGAGTGAAAACTGTTTCACTGTCTCTCCCTTACAGTTTTGCTTCGCAGTTTCATAACCTATGAGAGCAAGAGAAAATCCTATAGGGGAACAAAAATGATTTCTAAAAGCAGCAAACAGACATGATAAACAAGTGCTGAAATGCATGAGCTGTCTGAGTGATCCCTCAGTAATAGTGATCTATTCAAATTATAAATATTAGCCACATATGAAGTATAAAATAAATTTTTTCATTTGGCTTCCCATTCCTAAAAATGTCTAGTGCATTTTCAGTACCCAGGAAGAATATTTTTGTTTTACTTTAATAGAGTGTAGATAAACTGTCAATCTTCAAACTTGGAGCAGGTTTGTCCTGAATTGCCAGTCAGGCCCAGTTTTGAGCAAATCTGGCCAGGTTATTTTGCCATTGAATTCAAGAATTTTCAAGTTCGTCCTGTTGTTTCATGAATCCAAAGAAAGCATGATTTTAACCATGCCGTAGAAAATCCAAAGCAAAGCTAGATAGGCCGAAACTAAACAAAAAGAGTGAGTCTTGCAGAGCATTTTCACATGGATTTTTCTAACTTCACTTTCATTTGTGATTGCAGGTGGTTTGGGGGATGAAGTCTAATATTTAATAAAAATAAAAATACAAATCATCATTTTGCCATAGACTTTGCATGGGACCTTGAGCAAATCGCATAATCTCCTTAAAGTTCAATTCCCTTTCTCTAACATAGTAATAAGATTAGTCACCTACTTTGGAGAGGTGCTGTGAAGATAATTATCGTAAAGGTCCTATGTTACTCAGATTTTATTATAGCAAAATTCACGTAAGTACCTGAGATGCATGGCTATTTAAAATAAAAAACTAAGCACAGTTCAGAAGCAAAGTTAAAAGCCAAAAAAAGAAAATTGTTCATTTTAAGGGTGAATTTGTTGCTGTCAAGCAGCATATGTTATAAATAATTTGAAATGTAAATAATATATTTTTAATTTATTTTAGATGTATTCAAGTTTTGTAATTGAAATATTTATATGCTTGAAATGGAGTTGACTCTGTTAAAAAAGGAGGTTTAAAATGGTTTCTGAAACACATATTTATTATTTAAACATATATTTTAGCTGTAAACACTCTAACATAATTACGACCTTTCTCAGCCAGAGAGAACTAAATAAAAACTTAATTTGTCACATTAATTTTGTGCAGAAATGCAGATACCCTAATCCAGTAGGTTCAATTAATCCTTAACTCCCATATTATTTTATAAAAATGACTGAAAAAACCCTTGATATTTTTAGAATACAGCAAAATAAGCCATCTAATGCCTTTTTTTCCAAGCGACTTTCATAAGTGACAAACAAATGGCATTGGTATATCATGTGCACATGCTGAATCTGGACAGACAACTCCCAGCAAATAGTTTGCCAGATAGACTCTGCCTTACTGTTTGTCCACTCCACAAACAGACGGAGTTGTTATTTGCAGGTTTTTACCCAGCGTTCTGGATCTGTGTGTTGTTGGAAATTTTCAAAATCTGAGTTGCTGATAAAAATCCTGTTATTTCTCTCACTTGTTAGGAGCTTGAAAGTCCAAGAGTTGAGTTTCAGGGTAAATACATGATTGTGAAGACAAAATTAGTTTCTTATAAATATTCCACAATATTTGCTTAAAATGAACTATTTCTTCAAACGTTTTCCTGCCAAGAACATTCCTCCAGCTGTACAGAGTCAGCTGGAAACAACTTCTTTTTCTTTTATATTAAGAAAAGATGAAGCACTGAGACATCAGTTATTTTACCTTTGTACAGCACAAAAACAGAGGATGATTTTCTAGTTTGGCTTTTTTTTTTTTTTTAATGCTGCTGAATCAAATTCTGTGACACAGTTTTTTATTTTGATTATTATGTTTATTATTGATTTTGGAAGTCTCTGGTTCTGAGTGCTTATTTTGGAGGTCTGACTCATTTATAAAAAATGAGTAGGCACCCTCTTTTTGAAAACCAAGGCTTATTAAGCAACATCTGGATGCCCAGAATTGAGGCATGCAAAGTCACTGGTCATTTTTAAAAATATGGGAATGTTAAGGGTCCTGTTCTCACTGAAAGCTGCTATTACCTTCAGTTGGTGGGATTTTTCTTCGTTCCTGTCCTAATGGTCCTCTTCACACAGCGTCCAAGTTAAATTCATGACAGATTGTCACCATTTCCCTAACCACAAACCAGAACTCAAGCATGCAAAAATAAACTAGTGACTCAGATTAATGACATCTCCTTATAAAATGTCACTTTTAAAAAAAGAAAGTAACCTGGCACTGTGAATAGTGTGGAATGATGCTGTATCACACAAGTATGTCTAGAATATGTTAGCAAACCACACAAAGAGGCTTGTTGTACACAATCAAACCAAATGTGTTTTGGATTTTGAAGGACATGCACCTCCCTCCATTCTGAAGGTATCTAACTCAGGTTTTAGTGAAATCTACAGCATGTCTCAACTGACATGTTAGAGTTTATATCAAACAGCTAGTGCAGTTGCCAAGTATCAGACCAATTCACTTGAAAATTCCTTGGGAGAAAGGGTCCAGTTACTAGTTTTTTGTCCACCTCCAGATCTCGGTAAGCCAAAGGCTGGAGTGGAAGTGGAAGCTGGATCTGGGATTTTGGCTGATGGGTTCATCTCCAAATCACAGATTAATGCCTTGCCTCAAGATTTATGTTTAAAAAATGTTTTCAGAAATGTATGTAACTCATATTTACAAATTCTTAGTTCTTGGCATAGAATCACAGAATCACAGAATGTTAAGGGTTGGAAGGGACCTCTGTGGGTCATCTAGTCCAACCCCCCTGCTAAAGCAGGGTCACCCAGAGCAGGCTGCACAGGACCTTGTCCAGGCGGGTCTTGAATGTCTCCACAGAAGGAGACTCCACAACCCCTCTGGGCAACCTGTTCCAGTGCTCTGTCACCCTCAGAGTGAAGAAGTTCTTCCTCATGTTCAGACAGAACTTCCTCTGCTTCAGTTTGTGCCCATTGCCCCTTGTCCTGTTGGTGGGCACCACTGAAAAGAGTCTGGCTCCAACTGTAGCATGTCACTGCTACAGTTGTTGTGGTGTCTGTTAATGCACCAAGTGTTCCCACCTGAGGTTAGAACATAGAAATGGCCATGTGGGGTCAGACATGGAGGTTCATCTAGCTCAGTATCTTGTGTTTGGTGCTGGGCAATGACAGACATCTATAAAAACAACAGGGTGAGCCTGTAGTGATGCTTCCCCAGAACTCTTTACCAGCCTCCAACAGTTTGGTTCTCAGAGACTTCTGCAAGTCTTTACTTTTAATATCCCTTGATGCTAGTAGCTCACTTTTTCCAGATATTTCATGTGCAAATATGAGAGAGACTGTGCCTTAAAGAAGGTATGGGCTATGTCAGTGTGAGAGAAGAAAACATACTAGGAAAAGGTGGAGTGGATTCCCAAGGTCAGGCCACAGGTTGACAGTGCGGACAGGAAAACATACCATAATCCTGGAGTTCTTGAAGTAAGGAGCAGATTTGCTCTTGCCGTGCCGTGCGTGGGCCTGGAGTACCCAGACCCGTGCAGCACCCATTGGGTCACTCGGGTTGAAAATGGAGTTAGGGCAATTTGGAGATCTGGTCCTGGTCCATAACACGGATCCTGGCAGTGCTAGGGAATCAGAGTGTAAGACCAAAGTTCAGAGAGAAGGCTTTGAAGTGCAGTGACATTGTTTGTCAAGACAATTTCTTGATATGACAGCAATATAGGGGACTACTGATACGTAACTGAGCTAGCCAGTTCCTTTCTGTGTGCATGAGAACTGAAGGCTGACCCAGAACAAAGGTCCTTCTAGGTCAGCCCTATATCCCTCACCAGTGGTCAGTGGCAGATGCTAAGGAGAAAAAGCAAAAGGAAAAAGCACATGTATTCTCCTGGTATACCTCCCAAGCTTTAGTTCTAGAGAAGAGAGGAGTAAAATATATCCTGAGTATCCTAAACCATAGAACTTCAGACATAATGTTCACCCTTTGGGAATGTGTGGGCGACATTATTGTATATTTGTGGTTTTAAACACAGTTACACTTATTTACTTCAGAGCACAAAGGAAACCCAAACTGTTTGTGGAGAACAAACCAGGAAACTTGCTTAACTCTCCCCAGCTCTCTGTAACAATGGACCATAAATAGGTCAGACATTTCTTGGGAACCAAGGAAGATGAGTATTGGAAAATGCCACAAATTATGTTTAAAGAACATTAAAGTGGTGACAGACCAGTAAATGCTGGGAAATTCGAAGATGCAACCAGAAGCTGCCTGTATAGCTCATGCCAGAATGGGGGTGAGGGGTGCAAGGCATATGCTGATGTAGTAAGACTAGCATGTTAACCTTTACTATTAAAACCCTTGGCTGTTTTTGAAAATATTTTGCCCCCAAAAATGTCATGAAGCTTATCTCATCTTCCCACTTGAGGATGGGATTTATCTGAGCTATGTCTGGCTTCCTACAGTTAAGCATCTATTCTAAACTTGTCATCTCGGTTCACTGGAGAAAGGTAGATGCTTCCAAAGAGCAGCTCATCCCAACGTGAAAGGTGTCTAAAGCGCTGGAAGTAAATTGCTATTTGGCAGTGCTTTCTGCCTCTGCTGACTACTGAGGGTGTGTAGAGAACTGACCTAGAGTTTCAGGCTTTGGTCAGCCCAACTGCAAAAAAGCTCAGTTTAAGTAAAAGCAATCCTTGGAAGCTTTGGAGGTTTTGTTTGTTTGTTTGTTTTAACCCAGTTCGTAGAGCAATTTAGAAAGAAGGCAAGTTTCTGTTAAAAATAAAGAAGTTTCTGAATCACATGATTTCAAAGCAGAGCCTGAAAACGTTATTTGGAGCTCACAAACAAGAAGACATAAACCCCTACATGATGATTTCTAAAACGGCATATGATTTATATGGATCTGAATAAGTTTTGGAGTGTTTGATGCTGGTAGTTTTGGTTTTAATCTTCAACTTGATTTAATACTAATTTTCTTATTTTAAATATGGAGAACTTCCTACTGTGTATGCCGTTTCCCTCACTCTCAGACATACATTACTCTTCTGTGCATTTTTAGTCCTGTGCCCTAAACAAAGAACCGGTTAAAAGTCTGATTTTTTTGGTAGGACCTTACTACAATTTTGAAGTAAATGTTCCTAGTAAAAATAAGAATAAAATGAGGTTTCTATTTAAAAAAACCAACCAAATTGTATTGAAATATATTCCCTAATCCAGGACATGATTCAACCAGTGGCACAGAGCAGTTGACTGTATAGGGTGCCCATGGCTTTGCTCACTGTCAAGGCTGGTTATAGTCTTGTTTGCCTCTCTAGAAGTATGTTAATGTGCCACAGTCAGTTAGAGAAGTATTACCCATGTGCCAAAGCTGTATCTTCGTTGCTGGACACAATCATGTCGCCTTTTCTACATCCCTCTTTTTACTATTCTTGCCTGAGGAGCATAATGACTGAGAAGAGGACATTTCAGTGATGGGGAGGACAATGCTGGAGTTTCTGAGTGCAGCGGAGATTGGTGCTATAAATTAGTGAAATCCTAGATGGGTCTAATATTAATTTCAGAGACTACGTTTTAAATCTAGTCCAGAATCCTGAAAGAGTGCAATTAGTCCAGAGCCTGGAAAGTGTAGCGGTGACCCACCCCAACCTTTTGCATTAAGAGGATCCCGATCCCCAGCTCCATTAGCAAGAAAGTTGTGTTTGTCTACTTATTACTGTGCAAATCCACATCGGCAGGAGCCCTCTCAGATGTGTGTCAGTCACTGCAGTGAAGGCAGACTGGAAGTGGTGGTTAGACAGTTATATTTGATATATCTCTTTTGAGTGCTCTGACCACTTGCAAGGAAAAATCCAGCATCCTGCAGAAGCCACACTTTGCATTTCTGCAGTAATCAGTTATACTCTCACAAAACGAATAGAAAATTAAAACAGCAGCACGTGGTGCTTTTGCAGTCTACGGATGTCAGCTGGGGACCAGTGCATTTAAAAGCCTGCCTGGGCTTGGGCTGTGCAGTGAACTGTAGCCTGGGCCTGTGCTGTGCTGTGTTCACACGTGTAACTGCGTATCATTTATCAATTTCAGGTTTGTTGGACATTGTCATGACGCCAGTGTTCACCTGAGCAAATGTAGGCTTCCTGCTGCTGTTACTGCGTTAAACCAGGACTAATGCTTGGACTAGGAAGCAAGTGCCTGCCATGTGTGAAAACAAAAATACTGTTGTTGCATCTGAGAAGGAGAATGCTTGTAAATATTGTAGTCACTGGCTTTTGTGTGGGTTACATCAAGATTGTATTCAAACACTGACAGGTTAATTACATACTTCAAAGCTAGTTTGCTGTTATCTCAAGGAAAGTGTTATTAAAGAAGTGTTCAGCATCTAACAGTGCTTTGTTTTTCCTTTCTTCTCTCTTCTCAATGTTTTCTCTAGCTGATTACTCCACATGCCATCCGCGTACAGACGCCTCCCCGACATATCCCAGGGGTTGTAGAAGTCACATTGTCCTACAAGTCTAAGCAGTTTTGCAAGGGAACGCCTGGAAGGTTCATTTACACAGGTAAGGATACTTTAGTACTAGATATACTGTGGAGAAACACGGAGGCAATATATCATGCTTGCTAGGGCTTCTGCTTTTGTCACTAGATCTGTACTGTATTTTATTGTTTTGGCTGAGCACATCATTGAAGGTACCAATTTAAGGTTGGATATCAGAAGTGGATGACCGTAGAGATGAATCTGAAAGCATATCAGTGTGGGATTTTTGTTTGCTTGTTTGTCCTCGCAATGGGACATCTCTTTACCCAGGAGGGGGGGAGGGAGGAGAGAAGCAGATACTTCAGTACTTAAACAAACAGAGGAAGAGTGCAAGCATAAAGACCCAGACACACTAATGCAATCACAAGTCTGCCTTCCAAGAAACATCTTGCTGAACACGTCCACCTCATGTTGTCCGGCAAGTGTTCAAAGCAGCAGCCTGTTTCCCTGCCCATCTCGCCGTTGCATACTTGCCTCTGACTTCCAGGGAGGCTAAGTAGCTTTCACCTCAGCTGATGCTGCAGACATAGTGACTTGCAGTGTGTTTTGGGGTGGCCTGAGGAATCATTAACAAAAAAAACATACTAGGACATTGCAGGTGCTGTCAAAGTTAAAGCACTCTCAGTAGTGATAAGAATGGCCTGGGAAATAAATCAAGTAGCAGCCTAATTTCATAAAAAGAATGTGTGTCATGGATTAGTGCAAGGTGTGCATGCTGCATGAATTAATGGCTTGGCCCAGGTTTTGATGTTCTTGTCCTTTTATGTGCTAGTTCAACGTACGCAGGCAGGGCTACAGTAACTGTTTACCTGAACTGTGGTTCATCTCAGTCCAGTGCAATTCCTTTCCCCATTCTTGCTTGCCCCCGAAACTTGAAGAATAAGATATATCATAAATCCTTGTGGCTATGAGGTATTCTGGATTACATTGGGCACAAATATTGCTCCAACTGTGAATGCACACACAGGAACTCGAGGCAGAGACTTCTGTGCTCTACCTGGGTAGCAAAGCTGTCGTTTGATTTTTCTTAACACTGAACAAGTATAAGAGAGGTGCCTTATAAATCTTTGTTGTCTTTTTCAAATACCCTCTCCCCCAGTTGGGATCATGCACTGGGTTTCTTTAAACTGGGTCTTAAAGTGTTCATATATCACCTTGCTGGTTGAGCAGCAGGCGCTTGTGGAGGCTGTGTGTGTTTATTGTGAGCGTTATGATTTCAACAGTGTGTGGGAAATTCATATATTGGACAATAATGCACCATATCAAAAATGTTGTTTAGGGTTTGAATGCATTGGAACAAAAGAAAAAGCAAAGGGTCAAATTGCCAGCTGGTGCAGATTGCCAGTGTGTGCCACGTGAAAGTGTCAGCCAGAGCTCTGGACAGTTTGACCATGAATCCTTTCCCTTCTCACTTTCTTACTCACAAGATGTTGTTCTGTCCTGCTTGTTGTCAAGCCGCTTGGGTGGCTGCATCTTGGGCTGGTGAAATGGCAAGTATGCATGCAGAAGAAGAAGAAAGGGAGGGAACCTGCCCCCCTCGACTTTGCAAAGAAATTTTGGGGGACATCATTTTGCGATTTAAATGTAAAAATGGCTTGGCCCTATTGTGGTTTTGCTTTTCAGATCATCATTAATTAGCTTTTCCAGTAAAAAGGAGGGCGGCATTTTAGCCTGTCTGCCCAGAAGCAGATGGCTGAATGTGGAAATAAGGTGTCCCAGTAGGGAGAGCGTTTCCATATACACATTTTCAGGTTAGTGTTTAAAACGCATTATTTTTCATTCAAAAAATGAAAGTTATGGAATACTAAACAACAATGACAAAATCAAAGGTGATTCAATCCTTGGACAATTCTCCTACTTATGCAGCTTTTATGGAGTTACGGTAGATATAGAAAAGCTATTGTGACTGGAATTGTACCTCACACAATTTGCGTTTTCCTTTTAAAGGCAGCCGGAACTTAAATGTGGCTTTTTGAAAAAGACTAAATGAAACTAAAATAAAAACAATTAATGCATCCTGACCTTCAGAAGTGCCTTCCAGCCCTTTAAACAAAATACAGGTTCAGTACAATCCTGCCGATTAGTTTTAGTTAATTGAAAATTATAGGATTGACCCAAGAGGAAAATTTTGTTTGCACTCCAATCACTTTTACAAATTAAGGAAAATTACCACAATTTTGTTTAGCTAAGGTTTCACACTGAGTTCACGAAATTAGCTCAGCCATCCCAACAAAGTCAGCACTTTGTTAGTGAGCACTAGAAAAAAACTAATAGTCTATGGTGTGTACAAACGAAGCATAGAAAAAGCTATGATGCTTTAGAGAACTAGGCCAAGTGTTTTTAATTAGGATTATTGGTTCATTGTAAGTTTTGAAGAACAATCAAACTAGCAGATTAGCTGTTTCTTTTAAAGCTAGAATTTCTTGCCATTCATTTTTCCCATGAGAACTTGTTTTAACTCCCACATAGCACTATTTTTTTTCTCTTTTTTTTTTAACAAGGCCTGCAGGAAATGGACCAATTGGAAGTTGGGATACAGTAACATTCCCCAGCATCACTCCAGCCGATGGGATTTTTTCACAATGTTCTTCAGTGAACTCAGTGTTCTGGAACATATTACAAAACCACAGAGGCCAAATGTTTTCTCAGAGGAGTTTGGCCTCTGTTTTTGGCCGAAAACATTTCAGCATCACTTGCTGCTTATTTACCCTGCTATTAAGAACAAGAAACGGGGAGAGGAGAAAAAGGGAAAAAAAAAAAAAGAGTGTGTGTGTGAGAGAGAGAAAAAGACCTGGGGTTTGTGGGCGGTGCAGGAGTCGATCAAGCGTAGTTTCCTTTCTGGTGAGAATGTCCCTGCTCGTTAATGGACCCATTTTGTGGTCAGGTCTCATTTAGAAGAAATTATTTTTAATCAGTGTTCAACAAAATATCCCCTCAAGCCACCTGGCTGTAAACTGTTTTTTTCTTACTGTTAAGTACTTAAGTTCTCAGAAGAAAATACCCAGTGACCCATTAATTTTAGCCTTTTTTTTTCCTTTAACTGCAAATAACTTAGTAACATGATCTCTGAGTAGTCCATGTGCCATCTAGGAATCAAGGTCACATATACACAGAGAAATCCTGGCTTTTGTAAGTATTTTAGAAAGAAATAAACCAGTGTCAACCCTGTGCTTACAAGAAAACGTATGTTTTTTGCTTTCCATCTGCAAAGCAAGACATTAGCATGCACTTATAGACCAATTATTTCTTAGTTTTTAAGCTTTGGTATTCCTGAGAGAATGTTATTAGAAATACAGAAGTCTGAACACATCTTGCATGTGTGTTCATTTTGGAATAATATTAAAAGTCCATGTTGCCCCCAGAAATACCCAGACATGCTGGTCAGTATTTCCCTGTGGCACCCTTCGTCTGTAAATCTATTCTGCTGTTAAAGAACACTGAAGGAATTAAACTTTATGTCACAGCTTAGGTGTGTATCGCTACCATTATTTTAGGACTGGAGAAACAGAGATAAAGGAAGAAGCCATTCGGGATACAAATCTGTAGCTATTTTGCCAAGGTGACTTCGGGCATATTTGGTTGAGTTAAATAAGGAATGAGAAATGGCACAAATTTGTGATACCTGGACAAACCTTTGAGATTTTTTTTTTTTGTTTTGTTCTAATTTAAAAAAATGGATGCATCACAGACAGCATGATTTTCACAGATGAATTTTGCTATGGATGGTGGTACTAAACCCTGAGATTTGAGCGGGACTGCATGAATGTAAGTGAAAGGAGAATTTATCTCATTGCATATTGGAAATGACATATGGAAGGTCCATAAAAATGCAATATGCTGTGTCTTCTACCACCTGCTCAGTTTAAGGTTTTGTGCTTTTATTCCCGAACTAGACCAAAGGCCTACATAGGGGCCAGAAGCATATAGCTTTGTCACCAAGGTTGTGCATACAATATGGGGTTGATTCAGATTCTTGGCTGAGCAGTACCCCAGATACTGTTCCTTTTTTTGAAAACTGGTTACATGGTCGGATATAGGTTGGAGTTTAGGGACCATTTTCATTTGCGTTAGTCTCGCTGGGAGGCTGTGGGCTAAACCATTTGTGTGCTGACAGGGTACCGAGAGAAACAGGCAAGTCGAGCCAGGTTTCGTCTGGGGTTTGTTATAAGCTCTGGGAGATGGTATGTCTCTAGAGGTGCTGCTAACAGGAATGGGTGGATGTAGGGTCAGTGTAGACACACAGGGCTTGCTGTGCACCGTGAATAACCCCAATGCGGAGTGCTGATCCTCCAGGATAATTGTGATGAAGGCCAAGCAGGTCAGAGTGGAGTGCTGAGACTGACCAGTGTTTGCATCACGCTTTTGGGCCATTGTGTGTAGAGCGATGTAGAAATGCTAGCGCTGTGAAGGTCAGGATATTCGCAGAATTTCTGGGAAACTGCCTCTTTCTCTGAAATGTCATAGGGCTTCTCAGGGAACTTTTCACTCCCCTAGTTGCTACAAAGAAGAAATAGCCTCATATGGAAAAATCCCCGCTCCATCCTCATTTCACCCTTTATTTACTTCCGAAAGCATTTGAGTCTGTGTGCAAACAGGAAGAGCCTTGCAGAGCACAGATGATTTGGGTGACATTTTCAAAACCTTCAGTTTTAGGTGGCTTCATTTTTTGGTTTTTATCTTTAAAAGGTTTAATTTACAGAAGCACAGGGGTAGTCGTCTTCTGAGAATTATTCTCTTTTCATTTCTTAAGTCAAATACCTCCAAGAGTAAGAGACAAGAATTACCCATCACCATTTAAAATTTCAGTCCATGGCCCTAGAAGCAGAGTTTTAAGTCATGTACACAGATCTGGTCAGAAATGGAATCACTTAAAAGGTGATCTTCTATCCCTAAAGTTTCCAGCCTGGTAAACTTCAGTGATTCCTACGCTAGCAGAATTTTCTGCTTTCAAGCAAGCACCAATAACTATGCAAAGTTCAAAAGATACATAATCAATGAAGCAGCTTTCAGAAATGAGAGTTC